TCCTCCTGGCCTTTTGTGCCTCTGCAGGACACTGTGAAGGAGGAGGAAGACTTAGGCTGCACCATGCTACACAATTCTAGAGAGGTCTTTGGGGTTTACTGCCACAGTCTGATGAAACTGTAAAGGAAGAACAGGCAAAGTTTTGGCAGCTTGGAGAACAGCAGTATCTAAGGGCAGAGGGAATTCTGTTCTAGGAAGACATTTGGGTGAAGTTCACAAAAGGAGGAGTTAAAAACTGAATGAAGCTTCTTTGGTTTGGGCTAAGGTAGGGGCTGAGCACAAGAGGGTGAATGGGAATCAAAAGCTCAGGTGTACCTCAGGCTCCTCCAGAGGCCTTGAGTAAAAGCTGCCCTCCCAAATTGCCCTGTCTAGACTATTGCTGCCAGAGCACAGCTTGGCCCAAAGAGTAAGGAGTCAGGACTCTCAAATCACAAGTTACATTTGCATTTCTTTGCTTGTAAATGAAGTGTATTTGATAGGAAATTTCTAGGACAACAAGCATGTAAGTTACACTTACAGCACAGTGTAACTAAACCCTCGTACCCAGAAATCACAAGTAAAGCCCTTGAAAAACCTGTAGGCTTGGTATAAACTTGATGTAACATGGTATCTCAGACTAAATATTTTGCACTGCATTTATTTGCTAATCCTTCAGAATTCAGGGTTCAAACAGTTCAATATCTTTCTGAAACCCTGTGGGCTACCAAGGTATTTCCTTTCTCTTTCTTTCCTTCCTTAAAATGAGAAGTGGTAGTCTCATATAATTGCTGGAGTTGCAGCTGTAAAAGGGAGGAATTGCTCTAAGAGCACTGTCACCATAGCCAGTGACGCTAAAGACTGTTTTCTGGGAAGTGCTGGACTAGGCTCTTCTTCATCCTTCTGGGGAACACAATTCCTCTTTCTGATTTTGTTTCATGACACTTCTCTTTTGTGTCTGGAGCCTGTGTTTCCCACCCCCCCTGAAGCTGGTGACAGTGTCAGCCTGAAATGTGGGGAGCAGCAGTAGGCTCCAAGCAGTTCAGTAGGCACCCCAGTCTGTGTTCACTAGCTCTGTCTTCTCTGGCACGAGGATGGATCCTTTCCTAAGGGCATCCCTTTAGGCTGCCACATGGATGTACTTTAACCCAGTGTCATTCCTGTCATTATGATACAAGCCTTCAGCCCAATACCTAGGGCAAGCATGTGTCTGTCCAGGGTTCCTTCTCTGGAGCAAATGAAGCTGCAAATCCACCTCCATCCCAGGGAGATGTCACCCTCTGGGAAGGACAGCTGAATCTTCCCTGGTCATTCAGACAGCTGTCTTGCTGTTCCTGACCCCTCCCCAGCCCCACAGCATGAGGAGTTTGTTTCCAGTTCCTCTCTGTAGCAGAGAGACTTTGAGGAGCACGAGGCGGGATGTGTTCTGTTGTCGCACATGCTCAGCACCTTCTGCAAATGGGCAGTGAGAAACTCAGAACAAAACCAAGGCCCTGAGGCTGGTTTCTCTGCAGACAGACAGACCTGCAGTCTTGCAGAGCAAAACTCTTCTCCCTGTCCTCTCAGTCAAACCCGAGCTTCCTCACTCAGCTCAAACTTTGCTTTGAACAGTCAGAGTGACCTCTCACCCGGGGCTTGCCTGCCCAATTTGTAAGCCCTTTAATAGTGGTAATCCTTTATCCTACTTTGCACATCAAAACACATGCAGGCTCCTCCCAAACAAGAGAACTTGGCAGATGAGCCTTGGGTAAAAAGCCCAGTAATTTATACAAATTATGCTGTTCAAAGGTGTCATTTCTCTTTCTCCTTAGCAGAAGGAAAAGATTTCTTCCCATCCAAATGTTACAGAAGCAGTGTTTGTAATTAATCACTGCAGTATTAGGTTTATCTAGGCACAAGACCACTCTGCTGTGGATGTACCATTTACTGAGAGTGCAGCTGGCAAAGCCTCAGTGTGTCCCAGTGCCTCTCCAAGACCAGGGCCTAGAGAGAGGGTCTGGGTCACCTTTTCCCTTGCTGCAGCATTGCCTGTGGTTGTCTGCACTGCATCATGGCCCTTTGTAAGTGCTGTGCTTTGTTGCTCTCCAAAGGGAGCTCGTGCTTCCTGTGATTATGGAGCATCTCACACAAGAAGTCTCTGATCTGAGCTGAGGATTATCTAGGTGTCTGTGGCAAATTCTTCAGGGAGAAAATGAAATCATTGTAATGTGTTCCAGCTTCTCTTAGAGGTGATGGCTTCTGGTATCATTGTGGAGGGGGGCAGTGAGCTTGTACACTTGGCATGAGCCACAAATAATGTTTCTGAGAGCTTCTTCACTCCTGGGAGAGTGGGAGATGCAGGTAGAGCAGGCAGTGGATGTGCTGTACCCTGCCCAGGACGGGGATGGATTGTCACTGCAAACAGGTGGATCTTGCTGCTCCATGCATTGACACAGCTTGTCACTGCCACAGAGAAGCTGCTGGCATCTTTTAGACCTATGTAAATTCTGGTGTTAATAAATTCAGCAGCTTCCTCTTGAAAACCTTTATTGGGTGACTTTCACACTGCCCCCACAGAGCCCTGTTCCTTGAAGTCAATGGGAGATCTGGGTGTGGTGAAAAGTCAAGATCAGACCTGTAAATCAGATGATAAAGAGAAGTGCATCAGTAGGAAATGCTTTTGGGGAGCAACATATTCCTCTCCCGTCAATTAAAAGTGCAGGGAATGGCCCAGAAAGAGCTTTCCTCTGACATGTAAGGGACTGCATTTCAACAGCATAATGTTCTAATGGGGCTTTCTGGTAGGCTGGGGACATAAAAGCACATTTGTGCCAAATATGTTGTTCAGCCCATCTAGTCAAATCCATTTCTGAAGAAGGATATACAAATCTGTGTGGTTCTTCCCAGGATTCATTGAGACCACCTTGTGCAGTCTTCACATATCCTGTGGCAGAGCCCAGTCCCTGGCAAACTGACATGCTGTGTGCCATGGCCCAAAAATGTCTGATGTGGCAATACAGGCTCAGCTCTAGGAAACATATTCTGCTGGGTCCAAATCCCTTAGGTACTCTGAAAGCCTCCCTTATTCACTGGCCCCTCCTGAAACATCTGTGGCAGCTCACTGTGAAATTATGTGCCACTTCTGTCCCCTTGGTTGCTGAGTTCATTTAATTAATGTTATTCCAACTTTCTTCCTGACTTTCTTCTTCCTTCATTGTTTCATAAGCCAGTGGTACCTAGCCTTCTGTGGGTCATAAGTCATCAAAAGGTTGCCTCTGACATCATTGCAAATAAAATAAAAATGCATTAAAACAAGCCTGTGCATGTGCGGAGCCCAAGTGCAGAGACAGAAAGGGCAAAGGAAGGTGCCAGCTTTCAGTGCTGGCAGCTGCAGTGCTCCTGGTGCCATGCTGAGGTGAGCTGTGGGGGCACAGGGTGACCCATGGCTTGGTCCCCAGAGCATGAGGTGGGCGTCCGCAAACACACAGACCGGGAAGTGCACTTGCCAGCACTGGACATCACCACTCGCACTGTCTGTGCTCATAGCATTCCTGAGGTTCTCCCTTGCCCCTGCACCATGGCTCTGCTTCTGCCACCACCCCATCCTGGCACTTTCAGTGCTTCTGGGGCAGTGCTGGGAGCTGAGTGCCTTTTCCTGAGCTGTTTTGTCCTGTTGCTTCAACCTTGAACAACAGTGGAGCTAATAAAAGAACTTTTGAGCGCTCTGCAGATGGAACATGTCATAGTGGGAAAATCAATCCACAGATCTGCTCTTTGATGGTATCTAGCTGCAGGCAGATGCTTTCATGTGAAGCAGCATCTTCCCAGACAGATTATTTCCTTGCTCACATTGTGTACAGACGTGCAACTCCTGGCATAAGCAGCTTTGCGCTGCAGCACTTTTCTAAACGCAGCCTTTCCTTTCTCATGCAGGCACTTCCCTTTAGGAGTGTTTTGGAATGGCCCAAAGAGAAAACTGGCTGGCTGTGCATCTGACTAGGTAAATGTAGGCCCAGGAATAACAAGTGGCAATGCAGCAGGGGATCACAGGAGAGCTACAGGCCCCCCTCCAGTCAGCCTCAGCACAGTGCACAAATATCTGGCATGTCCAGTTGCTCAGAAGAAAAGGCAGGAAGTTGGTCTGTCAGCATTTCCATCTCATTTCCTCAGCATTTTTAAAGTGGGAAAAAAAAGTACAGGCACCTCCATTGCAAGGAGCAAAACTATAAGGATCAGCTGGGAGCTCCCTTCAGACAGCTGTGCAGAAATGGTCTGGAGTTCTCAGCAGATGAGACACACATTGAAACATGTTGTGATACTTTGTTCTATTACTCAGTTATTGCATTTGTTCCTAGAAACAGCATGAAACTCCCAACAGGCCAAGTGTCCCACATGGCAAACTTCAAAAAACCTCCATAAAGAGAGAAATGGCTCCCTTTATCCGTACACTTCTCATATTGCACACTGAAACCACAATAAACCCAACCTGTGAACTTGTTACATTTTTACTTGTAAAATTTTACATATGGGGCAGGTATTTCTTTTTAGTGAGATTGTGTTTGGTGTCCAGTAGCTGAAACTAGAAATAGTAAATTGTCGCCTAATCTAACCTTGCATGACTCAGGCGCTTTCTTCCAAGTCTGTTTGGTTTTTATCTCCATGTCAATTATTGACTGTTAACAGCTTTCCACAAGACAACTTCTAGCCAGGTCCAGGGTGAGCACAGGAAAATGCAGTGCAGTGTGAGGTCTTGTGAACTTTGAGACCTGAGCTCACACAACCTTTAGGAGCACCTCCCCACCCCTTCTGCTTTTGTAACCCCCTCCTTCCCACCCATAGTTGTCCTAAACAAACCTTGTGGCAATATGAGAAGTCATGTATTTACATGGTAAAGCAGCACTGGAATAGTGCCAGTGTGTTCTGCCTTTGGTAGGAAAAGCAAGTGGGTTTTGTCCTTTAAAAAAATAAAAAGTAATTTCTTTTTTTAACTTTTGTGCCCTATTTTACACCTCACAACGTTTTTCTCTCTCCCTTGCATCCCACAGCCTCAGAAGTTGGCTTCCATCAGGCAGGGCCACTGTGTCTTTGCTGAGTTCTGGCTCTGCTACACATCATGCATGAGAAGGATGGCTAAAGAAGGACAGGCAGAATGAAATTTCACTCAAAGCAGTTCATTCAGTCATCCCTGGATTTCCCTGTAAGTCTTGCTAAGATTTACTATTTGGCAAATCTGGTTGTGGGGCAGAGCACTATCTATCTATCTATCTATCTATCTATCTATCTATCTATCTATCTACCTGTCCATTTTTTTCTACACAGCACTTCAGTGACTTCCTCATAGCAGATTGGTCTCTTATTTGTTCTACTGTTCATTCTTCCAAAGTGCAGAAAGGTCGTTCTGCCTCAGATCTCAGAGTTAATGGCAGACAAAAGGAAGTGGGTGTGAAGTAGCTCATATGAACACTGTGAAAAGCTGGTGCCCTTTCTATTTATAGCCCTGCTTGAACTTTCATTCATTTAGTTGCTATTTTGGTATGGCAAACATTCCATCTCCTGGGGAAAGTACGTTAGCAGTGCACGTGAGCAGGAGGGAAAATACATTGGTCATGCAGGCAAATATTGAAAGGCCTGGAAACCAGTGCCATTCCCAGAAAGCATATAGAGCCAAAGTGATACTGGAGGGAAGCTCATTCATTCAGCTGACAGGCACAGCAGTGCTTTGAGGTAAACCCAGACCTCTTATTGACCTCATGTCTTTTATTACATTTTAAATCCAAGGAATTGGTAATGTATCTCTTCTCAGTGGTAGAGGTTTGTTGAAAGGAACACCCTTGGTCACTAATTCTCTGCTCTGCTTTCTGGGTAGAGAGCTGGCTGATGAACACTTAAAAACCTCAGTGGGGCTTTCTAGTGCTGGCCAAGGGAGTTTCCTTAGTTGGTCAGTGTCTCACATCTGTCTGTTACAGAAATGTTTTGTTCTCACCTGCTTTTCTCTTTTTTATCTAACATGAGTTGTACCTACCAATACAGACTTTGTGCACAAAGTCAAATGAAGCCCTTTGTGGATTTCACTGATGTTTACCTGCCGATTGTGTAAACAGTCTGGCCACTGGCTTCAATTAAAGCAAACTGATGAAGGAAAGTTCTGGGCATGGCCAGGTGTAGCCTATACTTTGAGATCTTCCATGAGGCACTTGTGCAAGGAGGCAGAATGAAGGTTCATTATGAATTGGGAGTGCTTGGTATGACAGCCTTCTTGTGGAAGGCTCTTAATAGTCAATAATTGACATTGAGATAAAAACCAGTAAATATGTGTGTTGATACCTGGGGATACTGGGGACACAGATGGAAATGGTATTTACTTCAAGCTATTAGGTGTTTAATAAAAAAGAAGTTGGATACACTCAGTGGTTTTGAGCCAGAGGAGCTGCTTTCTATTTAGCGAGGGTATCCCAGTCATTCCATGGGACAGAACAGGTATGCTCAGTTCCCATGACCACTGGAAACAGTGAAGCCACAAGTCTCATGTTGAAGAAAATGGACAACCCGTTACTTTGACCTCCTTCTAATTGCAGGTGAGTTTGTCTGAGGAGGTGGAAGGTCTTCCAGTAGATGGAATAATAAAAGAGAATTTCCTTAATCCTTCTCTGAATTTGGTTTGCAGAAGCAAAGAATTTTGCAATCTTGTTGTTCAGCAGGCATGGTGCTTTCCCTCTGTTCTGGGGTTAAGATCTGAGGGCAGCAGCAAGCACCGAGGAGAGTCCTGTGACTGTGAAGGAAGATGTGTGTATTGATACTGACATCTCCTCTGGCTTGAGTAATCCTGGACGTGGGGCGAGGTCATTCACACTTTCATGTGCTAGCCAGCAAGCTGGATTCTCACACCCTTATCTATTATACTGGCTAAGGCGTGCTCTGTTTTCTCTTCTATCTGCATAACCAGGTGTTGAGCAACTGGAATGTCATTCCAGAAATTCTGACTGCCTTGGGTGTGTGCTCCTCGCAGGAATAACTTCTGGGAATCACTTTGGAGGGCCAAACAATATGGTTTTCAAAAATGATGTTACTGTACAGTGTGACTTTAAATGAATTATATAATTTACCAAGCACCGTCCCTCTACTGCAGAGTAGCAGACTCCTCTGCCTGCTGTTTCAGAGGGTGATCCAGCTCCCAGGATGTGGATATGATGAATATGTGTGCTATTCACATAGTTATAATGTTTATTCATACTGCCTATATGTGCCAGCAGGGAATTGAGATTTATTTCATATTTTCTGTTGTTTTAAATTTGCAGCCCCACATCTTCATAATTCAGCCTCATCATTCATTTCACTCAGTTGCAATCAGGACACATTCCCAAATGGAAGTGACACTGCAGAAGGCACAGAAACTGGGAGCAAGCAACCTTTAACACAGCCAAACACTATTTGCTATGGCTCTGGGCAAAACCCTGGCCTCCAGAGCAAAAGGATGGTGGTAGGAAGAACAGGAAGGCTTGGCAAGCTGGGGAGCCACCTCCTGATGAGCCCTGATTTCAGGGGCACATGTGTGGCAGAATCCCCTGCAAGGGCCACAGTCAGGGCAGGCTCTGCCAGAGTGGAGGGCAGGGCCACAACAGTGGTATCAGAGCCCCCAGACAGGGGGAAGGTAGGGAGCAGCCAAGTCTGTGTTGTGTGTAGTTGCTGCATTGTGTTGAGCTGGCACGGTCAGCTCAAGGGTCAGGACACAGACAAGTGTCTCCTGACACACTTCTGTGTCCCAGCCACACCTTTGCTGGCAGGGAGCAGGCAGTAGAAAGCTGATTGCTATAGAAACTCAGGGCTAAGTCCTGCTTGTGCATACAGAGCTCCACTGGCTGTTACCTGACGGCCCTGGGATACAGCTGGCCTTGGATTTGGACTATGGTGCAAAGATCCTTTATCAAAAGTCAGTCAAGGGCATTTCAGTGAGGCTGTGGCAGAAGAGGAGAGAGAGGGTCTTAAGAAGACGTATTAATATTCTCATAGCAAGCCAGCTATGGATGAGACAGCTGCTCTGGGTGATGGGAACTCACCAAAGCTGCAGAATATGAAAGAAGGCAGCTCTGCACCTGTGTGCAGCACAGCAGGCTATAGCAGTTTTTGTAAAGGTTGAGGTTTCCATTGTATCTCCATGCTTTGGGGCTCCCTGAGGGTTTGAAGACATTGTGCTATCCTTGATATTTGAGCTCCCTTTCAGTTAGATGCAGTGACTGACCGAGGCCCTTCTGGACATCTCCTGAGGTTTTGCTCCTGAGGTTTGCACAGAGAGCAATGACAAGGTGAGCTCACACCTCTTTCCAGACCGTGGCTGCTCATGCAGCATGTAAGCAGAAAACTGGCAGCACAACTTTTTGATATCTGGAAATTTGGCCTCTCCAGAGCGTTTATAATCAAAGATAAATTCAGCTGGAGTGGTAAGGAAAGCTGCCCATTAAAAACTTTTCCTGGCAATGGTACCTTGTGTAGCTGGGATATGTTCTTAGCTGTACAACCACATTTCAGCTGTGCATTATGCAACTGCTATTAGCATTAATGAGTTACAAGGCTCAGATACTGATACTGTTCCTAGAAACAGCCTGCACAGGGATGCACTCCTTTGGATTAATTTGGGGAGTTAGATGGAGCAGAGGCCCTGTGTACTTTGATCCTCTGGTGGATACCTGGATCCAAACCCAGAAAAGGGTTCTGGTCTTCAGCTCTGGTTTTCAAAAGTAAAAAATAAAGCTGCCTCTGGAGTAAAATTTGGGTTCTGGTTAGGAATAATATCTCCCAAATGCTTGTGATATCCAGCCTGATATAAGGATCAAGGGGACAAAAGCAACTATTTAAAACCTACTAACTAGAAATCAAAATAAAATTAATCCCCAGACCATGAAGATAACCTACCATGGAAACCTCATTAAATTCTTATTTTGAGTAAAATGAAAATTACTGTCAAATACTAATACTTCTGATACTGGTATATAGAAAATACACTTAGAAGAAGGCAGAAAGATCTGCAGGGGCTCTGAGTGCAGCTTTACCTGTCTCTAATAGGTCACTCAAGTCAAGAAATTAGCATTGATTTCTAGTGACTGAATTTCTTACTTGTTTTTGGGCTAGCACAGTACGCCTCAGTTATCTGGGGCTGACAGGAATGAGGTTTGGGTCTCAGGTTTGTGTTGTCTCTCCAGAGGCTGTGCTTGCTCTCACCAAGGATTATGTGCACGTCCAGACTGGGCAGTGATGCAGCCATGGACTTAGCACACAAACTAGTACTGACTTTGCTGGTGCAAAACACAAACCCCCTCAATTACCCATGGAAAATCCTGGCCAAGGCTTAAGATTTGTGATCTGCTTGGATGTGGCCCCTCCCCTGTTCCCTGGCAGCTGTGCAGGGCTGCCTTGGGAGCCTGGAGGAGCACAGGGAGAAGATGGTAGGTGCAGTTGAAAGGCAACCGGATCAAAGGTGAGTGATTAGCATCAGGACAGTGTGTGTGAGCACAGCCTTGCCCTGGGTGGCACCCAGAGGTGGGTCACTCCTTTGTTTGCACGCAGCCTGTGGCTGAGGGGCAGCCTGTGCACGGGGCACACAGTGAACAGGCACAGGCAGGAATCCAGGCCAGCCCCGTGGCTGGGACCAGCAGGATGCCACTGGAGATTCCCAGGATGCTCTGGGCCAGACACAGAGCAGGAGATAGAAGCTGGGGTTCTCAAGCATGTAAACAGCAGAAACCACAGAACAGCCACGCTTGCTCTGGAAAATGGCACTGCACTTTTGGGGCCAACAGCTGGCCAGATGCTCCAGCTTGAAAGGCAGTGACTCAAAGCCAGTACCAGCCTGGGATTTGGCTTCTTGCATCAAGAAGCCACGACATCCTCACAGCTGTCAGAGAGAGGTGCTGAGGAGAAAATTGTCCCATTGTCTGCATGCCAGGCTGCAGTGCTGAGCCTAATGCTGATCTGTGGATATGGATCAGGAAGAGCTTGGGTAAACTATTATTCCAGAGTAAACTGGGAACAAGGAAGAAGTCTGCAGACTTCATTGAGGTGTTCTCACGGTGTTTTGCAAGCCTGAGCATTCCTGTTTCATAGCCAGACAGCAGAAGCACGTTTAGCTACGTACACATAACTTGATCTGTGCCACCCAAGGACCCTGGGCTCTTTTGGGATGTCTGTAGAGATTTAAGG